TTCACATCTTTCATAAATACTCAAGTTCACTTTTAAAGCAATATGCGTTTGTCTTGATCGTCTTTGTATACGAGTATAACATGTTTTCATATGTATATAAAGGGTACATATATTTATATTATACAAGGGACAAAAATAGTTGGCTAGAATGACCGTATTAGATCTGTTAGCTCTTATCTAAAGCTCTGAAGCCTTATGCGTGGAGAAGAAAAAGCACTCATGGTGGTCTTCTCTAAGCTCGCACAAGATAGCAGTTGTAAAGAATTTACAGCAACATTCCACTTGACAGAGATGAGACCGCCAAGTCAGGGAGTAAAATTTGAGCCTGAAATGTGTCTCTACCAGACTGACATAAAATATGTATGCTCTTTTTAGAATCATTGAAGCATGGAGAGGACAATACTAGACATTTTATATATGATGTGGTATGGAACATTTAAAACAATACCTCGCAAATATATGCATAAATTCAAGAAAACATACAAGCTGATTTACTAGTGTACAACGCTAACTTTTTTTAGTTTGTGCCTCAAACATATGGCCTAAATGTCATTTAGTAGCTGGCATATCTGAGCCACTATGCCAGAAACAAAAGCTGTTTGGCGTTGCATAGTTGTAACTAATAATAATATAGGTTTTAAAAAAAAATGTAAAACACATCTGTTTCTGCTGTTTGTCCAAAAGAAGGTCAAAAACCCAATTTGAAGATAGTGCCAACTGAGCTACGAAAAGGAAAAAAAATATTTTTGACTTCATAATGGCAATGCAATATCTCCTTGGAACAACAACATGTTCCTATCCATATTAATTATATCCTTGTATATAATCCAGGGCTTTTTTAAACATATCTATAAAATCTCTCAACCTCCTTGGCCAGAGAATTGCACGTTTATTATTCTTAATGTAAAGAACTCTTTCTTCAACAAAAATACCTTTCTTCCAGTCTTAGTGGATGACTCTCGTCTGTTGTTCCTGCTAATGAACAGGTTACCAGATAGTGGTTTGTACTTACCCTGTAGATATTTGCATAGTGCTATCAGAACCCCTATGAGATGCCTTTTTGTAAGGAAACAAACTCATTACTGAAAGCCTTTCTTCATAATTAACGTCTTTCATCCGCCTTACTTATTTTGTAGCCCACATTTGCACTTTTTATAGTTCTTTTACTAACATTCTTTAAAAATGGCTACCCAAAATTGCAGCTACACTCTGCTCACTATCTATAAAGGGTTCCTCTAAGCACCATGAATACTTTATCTTACTAAAGTGGCTATATTGTGACAACCCTATACCTGCAGCCTTTCTTTTTAAAAAATGTTTAATTCTGGAGACAAACACTTTTTAGGTGTAGGGCACCACCTAACTGGTAAAATTGGTTTAATTCAAATTTTGCATTTGGTGTCATCATACACAGCACACACACCATGTTAACCCTAAACACTTGGCCAGGCTGATTGTGGCTCGGTCAGTTACACATATAAAACTGAGTTATTTTAGCAGATTAGGGGTTTTCTATACTTATTGATAAGAAATTTGTCTGTTGACGTCTGTAGAAAAAATGCTATTCAGTAATCAGAGTAAGCCCTTTCTTTGCTAATATAGCCCAGTCCGCAGTTTCAAAGCAACTGCTATCCAGATTTCAAGTACCATTCAAACTCAATGATAAAGATACTTTAATGTAGCCTTACAGTACACAGACTTAGTAAGGCTTAGTCCCTACATCAATTTGCAATATGGTTGCCTACCTATAGTTCTCATATAAACTCATATTTGCTATACAGCTTTCAATTTCTATTTAGAAGAGCAAAATATTTAGATATGACTTTGTGTGATGGTTGTATAGACACAGAATATAATTAGAGTATTTATGATTTTGCTGCAGTAAATAAACTTAAGACTAAAGCATTTTGTATTAGTCATCCTTTAATGTTGCAGATGTTAACTTATTTTGCTAAGCCTAACACTTATTTCTTTGACTTGTGAAATTATTCTTATATGGTATACATTACTTTGAACATTAGCCAATAACAGCTATTACAATGTGTTATGTCAGAAAAGCGTATTCTAAATTGTAATTAAAGTTTCTGTGCAAGTACAAAACATTGTGTAAATATTACTTAACAAGCTTGAAAAAAAAGTTGTCAAGATGGTTTGAACATGCCGACATTGTTTGATTATAAATCTCTTACAGATTAGAAATTAAATGTTTTGGGTTTATTTTTTCATAAAAAATATGGTCTCTGACATCGATCTACAGTACATTGCCAGAGCCATCATTGTACTTCAGCCATAAATATGATGGTACTGCTTATCTACCCTAGACTGTGCTCCAGAGACCCAATTAGATTAATTTCCCTATGTTCAATACTAAAGGAACACTCCATGCACTGTAACCACTATAGTTTGCAGTAGGGGTTATGATGCCAAGATAGTCCCACAATTTAAGAAGTCAACACAGTTTAGAACGGTTTGACTATTTACCTGAGATCCGAAACAGAGACAGAAACAGCTTAGCCCTGCAGTCACCCCCAGGTAATGATGTGAGCCCTGCTCTACTCAGCTTAGCTCAGACAGAGAGATTGTGGCTCATTGATGGATGTAGTGCATGCAGGGCTCTGCACCAGTGGACTCCAAGTAAGAAGTCAAACCATGTTTGGAGTGTTGCATTAAAGTGAAGGGGACTTGTTTAATATACCTTTTCTGCTATTAACCAACGTACATTGAGGTGATGCTGGCAATATTAATGAACTCTTTTAACATCCCACAGCAAGGTATCAGAGGGAAATGTATATCATTTATTTTATTTATTTATTTATTACTGGTATTTATAAAGCACCAACAGATTCCGCAGCGCTGTACATTTAGCGGAGAATGTACGATATACACAGACAAATACAAAAGGTAGAGATCAAGCCATTGGAGCTCTTTTATACAAAGTGCTTAGCTCATGAGTTTACAATCTAAAGGATACAATGGGGATTTGAGACAAGAGGTAGCAGGGGAAATTTGGACGTGATGGCTAAAATAATTAATAGAGAGAAGCAGCTATTGGTAAAATATAAAGAGAATGAAGAGGTAATTGAGTGAGAATCTCAAACACCTGGAGGAGCATGCTATATATTTAGGGGGAACCTGGGTGGGCGGGAAGTGTTGAGAAAAAATGCAGAGCATCACTGAGTTTGAGTGTGAAGTGAGGCCTGAAGAACAGAGAAGGAGATTAAACAGTTAAATGAAGGTATTTACAGCTGGGAGGAGAATAGGAAAGAGGGAGAGGGGGAGGTGGGTAGACTAGCCATGGGTTGAATATAATCGAGTTTAGCAACCAAATTCTATCACCCAAAATATTAATAACTGTGTACATGAAAAACTGGTCAGAAACATTAAATCACAATAATACAAACCGCATGCACAGAAAATTACAGTGGCAAACTAGAGGTATAAATCGTAACAATTCTATAGTAACACATGATAATATGGTAGCAATGCAAGAATAAATGTGGTGGAGTATCATCCAGTATTCAGTCAGTACCTGAGAGTGGTAGGATTTTCTGCAGGATGTAAAATGCAGATCTTCACTGAGTTTGAGTGTGAAGTGAGGCCTGAGAGTGGTAGGATTTTCTGCAGGATGTTAAATGCAGATCTTCACTGAGTGTGAAATGAGGCCTGAGAGTGGTAGGATTTTCTGCTGGGTGTTAAATGCAGAGCTTCACTGAGTGAGTGTGAAGTGAGGCAATATAATGCTTAATAATGTGCTTAGATGATCCCCAAGCTGGCTGGCTAACATTATAGACTAGACTTGGGTAGAGCAAAAATAGCTTGTGCAAATCAATTTGTCTGAAAAGATTTAGTTCTGATGAACCAAATTTAGCCCACGCGGCATTCCAGTTTAGACGTATTTCATCCATGTGATCATTTCAGGAAAAAACTATTAGTGTACATTTTATAATGGGGTGAATATGTACTGATGTGGCTACTCTTTCTGCTAAGTCGCTAACAAAATACCAGAGAGGAGGACCTGTCATTGTCCGCTATGACCTATTGGGTGAGGGTTGAAATTAAATAATGGGGGAGTTCAGTTATCCCCACCGGGCCATAAAGTGTTTGTTCTATTAAAATAAAACATGGAAATATGACAAAGCTTCCCCTAGCTACCACCAATGGGCAGCAGGTGTAGGGTAAGAAAAAAGTAAAGGGGAGACATCCTATTATTCCCTCAGCCCCCACCCTTGGGTGGTAGCTATTAATACAGCAATGTGTGGGACATCCCATTGTCCTCCAGCTCCCACCAATGGGAGTGGCTAATACAATTAATAACATTAGCGAGCATTGAGTGGTGGCTATTAAATAGTAATGGGGAGAACATCCTGCTGCCCCCTTATACCGAACCATGAGTGGTGGATTTCATCTATTGCTACCCAGTCACTAGCAATATATTAGGGAGTTATTGTTGGTCCTATGGAGCCTGCACCCATGGGCTTCAGGTTGGAACAAAAATTAAATAAGAAGGTTGGAAATATATTATTTTCTATCTTGTCCCTACTTGTATATAATTCTAGCAAACTAATTCTATAATATTCTTTTAAACATTTTCAGTAATCTTCTTTACTCTATACAAATCCATTAAAAAAAGATGTCATGCTAATGTACTGCTATTGAAAAATGTGTTCCTCCCTACTAATCTACTGTCTTAAGCGTCTTACCGGGACTCCTGCTGCTCACAGCTTGACCCAAACAGGGACCTACCTAACAGGGATTACGGCTGGAGTGTCCTGGTGCGGAAAGCAGGGATGCCGACCGCCAAAAGCCAAGCGGAGTGGTTGCGGCCTAGTGGGGGCTCCGGGCGGGAGAATCGGATGATCTCCCGTCCTATGTCTCGCATATCAGCAGGTACACATGAAGTCCCATTCCCCTACCACAGGACCGGGGGGGATATCCTGGTCCACAGCATACAGCATGGGGTTGGCCCCGGCCCAAACACAGGTGATCACCCTAACTGAAACATGAAGGGAGGCGCAGACACGAAGGCTATTGCACCCTGCACTGACCAACCTAAGACGGCAAGCGCCACGAGGACGCCCGGTGACAGAGAAGACAAGCTGGGATACACGGCCAAGCTGGAGAGAATCTTTCAAGATTTTTGGCACAAACTGGAGGTACACATGCACCCTCCAGCCCTGACCCACCCAATTACCAGACTCCTACACAAGCGACAAATAAACAAAACACCTGTACCTAACAGAGCCCAAACATGACGGCCTTGTGAAACGCGCCACAACAAAGCAGCGAGCGAGAGGGATAAACTGCGATCTCACATGGGGACGGATTCCCAAACTCAAGCCATGATACCAAGCGCAGCCCCCAAGATCCCAACCGGGCTCAACGACCTACCTCTTGGCCCAAAGCTTCACCCACGACGGCGGAGAAGCGGTACTTGCATGGTGCGGCAGACCGCCCAACGACACCAACACAGTTTAACAAAAAAAATTTTTTTTTAAAGGATAATCTGCACTAGGTATTGGATTATTTTACTTTTTCTCTTTTATGTGCATTACCGGAAACTATATAGTGACTGTGCCTAAGGATTCACTTTAGCAAGATTTAAAGAGATAAAACTTATACCTGAGCGATAGCTCTAATAAACTCTGATTGGTTGAATGTTTTACCTTGAAAAAGGACAACACTTACAGTGGTAAAGAGACTGGTATTTCTGGACATTCTCTATTATATAGGTTTTAAATATAGCCCTCCACTTTTATATTTTTTAATTTTTTGTTTGAGGTGTTTTATACACTTCTTGAAGATGGGAGACACGAGTGTATCAGCTTGAAAAAGGGAATTACATTTGTTGTAATATAATATAAATGCTGTTTTTACAGTATATTTAAACATATTTATTTCAAAGAGTAAGAGTAAACATTGGTCTCTAATAAATCCAGAACAAAATCATTAAGTTCTGTACTTTCTGCTGTTGAACAAAGTGAAAGAATGATCTTAACATTTTCTTCACCAAAAAAAGTTTTATGTTCAATAGTACCTTTCAACCTATCCTCCCTGCCCCTGCCTTTTCCTTTACTTCCTTTGTAGTTCACACTGTCTGCCTTTTTAAGCCCACTCCTAAGAATTGCCTTCATCTATCGTCCCCCCTACCCCCCGTGCCCCCTCCTTCCCGGGCATCCTAGGCTATTCATTGAAAACTTTTCTTCCTGGCTACCCCACTTTCACTCCTCTAGCACTCCCTCATACTTGGGGAATATAACATCCCAATCAACAACCTCAACTGCCCTGATGCCTCCTGTCTGCTCTCTGTAACCTCCTCCTTTGACCTCATGCAGTTGTCTACTTCAGCAACTCATACAGCAGGAAACACTCTTTACCTCATCTTCACCAATTTCTGTACCACCTCTAATCTCTCTTCTGTTCCATTTCTTTTGTCTGACCACTATCTGCTAACATTTGACATCAGCATACCCTGTACCCAAATTTCACCACCCTCAGCTCTCCAATCTCACAGAAACCTCAACTGCCTTGATCTACAGCATTTCTCCACCAAACTCTAAACTCTCCTTTTACCCATCCCAAATCTAACTTGCCCTAACTCTGCAACCTCACTCTACAACTCAACTCTCTCCTCTGAACTCGACATCATGGCACCTCCTACAATTAAACGCAGCAAGCTCCCCCAATTACAACCCTGGCACACCAAGCTGACCCGTTACCTCCAAAAATGTTCTAGAACTGCTGAACGCTGCTGGAGAAAGTCTCACTTTGCATCTGACTTCCTCCACTATAAATTTATGCTGCGCTCCTACAGCCTGGCTCTTTCCGCTGCAAAAGTAAATTACTTAAAAAAACCCTCATAAGTACACTGTCCCATCAACCCAAACACCTATTTCACACTTTTGATGCTCTTCTTCACCCTTTTACTCCCCCTCCTTCTACCACCTTGTCCGCCACAAACTTTGCATCTCACTTCACTGAAAAAAATCTCTTCAGTCAGAGAAGAGATCACTAATTTCTCTCCTTCCCCTACCAATACATCACCCAACCCCACTCCCTCCACCATTCTACACTCATTCGCACCTGTTACAGCAGAAGAGTTTTCTGCTCTGCTCCGGTACTCCCGCCCCACCACCTGTTCCCTTGATCCTATTCCCTCATTTCTCATTCACACTTTGTCTCCCTCTCTTGCTCTTCCTCTCACTAAAATTTTTAATTTCTCCCTTTCCTCTGGCACATTTCCCTCACCCTTGAAACATGCAACTGTAACTACAATTCTGAAAAAGCCCAGCCTTGACTCCAACTCCCCATCCAACTACCGCCTTATCTCGTTACTGCCATTTGCCTCCAAGATCCTCGAGAGAGTTGTGTACACCAGACTGACTGACTTTCTTGAATCCAACTCTCTGCTTGACCCCCTTCAGTCTGGATTCCGTGCTGGTCTGTTGAAATGACTGAGACCAAAGTATCCAACGATTTAATTGCTGCTAAATCTTGCAGCCATTACTCTATCCTAATTCTCCTTGATCTTTCTGCTGCCTTTGACACTGTTGATCATCAACAGCTTCTTTGCATTCTCCGTAATTTTGGTCTACGGGATACTGCTCTCTCCTGGTGCTCCTCCTACCTCTTCCAGCGCTCTTTCAGTGTTTCTTTCTCTGACTCTGCCTCTTCCCCCCAACCACTCTCTGCTGGAATCCCCCAAGGTTCTGTTTTTGGTCCCCTACTGTTCTCTATATCAAAACTGCCTCCCTTGGTAAACTCATCAACTCCTTTGTCTTCCGTTATCATTTCTATGCAGATGACACACAAAGCTACCTGTCCTCTCCTGATCTCTCTCTGCCCATCTTGACTCATGTCTCTGAATGCCTCTCTGTGATTTTTAACTGGATGGCTGCTCACTTCCTTAAACTCAACCTGTCCAAAGCAGAACTTCTGGTCTTTCCTCTGTCAAGTGTTACTAATCCCGTGTCTGTCTCCCCCCAAGTCAACAGCGCTACCATCACTTCTACCTCACAGGCTCACTGCCTGGGTGTTTTTTTCGACTCCAACCTTTTCTTCACCTCTCATGTCCAATCAATAACCAAATCCTGTCGCTTCCATCTCAAAAACATAGAGCACATCCGACACCCGGATGTGGCTATTGTGCCGGTCCCTGCTGTTGGTCTCTCTCGCCTTAACTACTACAGTACTCTTCTCAGTGGTCTTACATGTTCCCAGATCGCACCGTTGCAATCCATAATGAATGCGGTGGCGAGGCTCATTTTCCTGTCCGCTCGCACCTCCCACGCCTCCCCGCTCTGTCAGTCCATGTTTTGGCTTCAAGTTAGATATAGGGCTCAATTTAAAATACTGGTGCTTGCTTACAAGTCCCTACATAATGCTGCTACAACCTACCTATCCTCCCTAATACACAAGTATGTCCCGTTGAGGACCCTACGCTCTGCCAAAGATCTACGTATATCCTCTGTCGGTACTCCCATCTCTAATGCTCTCCTCCAAGATTTCTCCAGGGCTGCACCTCTTCTGTGGAACTTCCATCCCTTCTCCGTAAGACTTTCACCCAGTCTCCACTCATTCAAAAAATCATTGAAAACTCACTTCTTCAAGAAAGCATATCAAAGCAGTTTTTTATGCCCCATCCCCCCATGACTCCTCTCATGGAACTGTCAAAAATTACCTACTAAGCCCTCGGTGAATACTTTTCTAACAACCCACTTCATACCCCTACTTTTACCTTTTGTGTCACTATACCCCACTCCCTCTAGAATGTAAGCCCATTGAGCAGGGCCCTCCATCTCTCTGTTCCTGTACGTCCAGTTGTCTGGTTACAATTACATGTCTGTTAGTCCACCAATTGTACAGCGCTATGGAATCTGATGGCGCTATATAAATAATAAAATAATAATAATAATAATAATAATAATAGATGCCATTATATTTTTAGATATTGCATTTTTTCATAATCACACAGTGATGAAATGTCGAGTAAGTTATTTTTTTTTATCAGACTTATGTTAGCATGGAACATAATATTTCCAAAACATTTGTGGGCAACAACTATTTTTTAAATAAAAGGGTCTTACTTAAGGCAAAGTGTTACTTTCATTCAGTTATAGTACCACTAGAATACAAATTATTTCAATGTATAACATATGCTTTAGTTACAGGGAAAATGTCAATATTTAATTGTGTCACATATGATCTTTTTGATGCATGGGGTTACAAAATTCAGCAAAAATTGCCTAAAATGCCACTATTAATTGAATACATATGTGGTTACATTAATGAATTTTGACACAAATTGTTCCATTCACATTATAAAACATTGCTGCATGCCCCATGTTTAACACTTTCCGTAATACTATTGTACCCCATAACTTAGTAATACATATAACATATAGAAACTTTTGCACTGAGTATTTTATATGTTGGTGCATTTATAAATAATGAAAATGGTAATAATTAAATAGTGATGTATTTTCTGCTTACTTTTCTTCTTATAAATTCAAGCTCAAATCCAAGATATCTATTTAATGTTTCCCAATTATTTTGATAATGTAAATAAATGCTATGCATTCAATGGCTCAACATATGTGAACATTGCATTTCAGACTCTTCAGTTTCGTTTTAGTAAACGTTGACATGATAGTTAACAACTGTTGTTTATAAGTTAGGCTTGGGCCTAAATATTTGTGTAGTATTATACAATTCTAATAAAAAAAAATAATATAAAATGACAAACAAAAAAATAACACAACTTAACAGTAAATTATTGTGTCGTTCAACAATAAAGTGAAAATAGTGTTTTTTAAAAACAAAATCTTTCTTAAAGTGGCTCTTACACCAAAACGTATCTTCTTCCTATTGTTTCCTCATCTCTTTCTCTTTCATATTCAGTTCTTGTTTTCTTCATTTCTGATCTACGTCTCTTTAAAACATGAGACAACGTAGGGACCATGTCTAATGTTTTAAAGAGAAATAGATCAGAAATAAAGAAATGAAGAACAGATCTGAAAGGAAAGGAGAAAAAGAACAGGAAACAATAGGAGAAAAGTAAGTTTGAGATGAAAGAGCCACTTTTAAGCTGTGCAAACATACACACATGTAATTTGTTTTTTCTAGGATTTTAATTCAGTGTTTTGTACAAAACATT